GTTCTTTTGGAAGTGGGTTGAGGTTCTACAGAGGTAGGAGCCAAGTCCCAGTGGGCTGGGCTGGTTGCTGACAGGCCTGTGCTCTCCTTGCTCAGCACTGATGTTTCACGCCCTCAGCTCCTGTTGGCTTATTCAGGTCATTTTGCTTTTGAATTATGTAAAGCTTTGTACTGATGTGTGTTTACTTCATGTTGTCATGCGAGTTTTGGATCTGCCACTGATTTGGCTTTTGATTTGGGACAAATAATTTTTTTTTGGTCCAAATATTAGGACTCAAACTTAGTACCTGATGCTTTTGCTTATTGGCTGACACTTTACCAACAGAGCCATGCCTCCAACCCCTGGGGCAGGTAATTTGTTTTTAGATTCATAGTGGCACTTATTTTTTCATGAAATAGACTGTCTTGCATGACAGTTTACATTGAAACTATCTCCTAGATTTTTCCAGATCCAATTTACTTTACAACCTCTGCTTCCTTGTTAGGCACAGTGATACAAGTTTCAGTTTTTGAAAATGAGGTCATTGTATAGGTGTGACAAAGAAACAAAACTGTAATTCCTAGATTGGAAAGTACTGTAGAGTACTGGTGGATAAGGTGTCAAGATCTACTTCAGGCTCATCACCTTGTAATAGCCATCCTCTAGCAATGAACAAATAACCTGGGTACCTCAGCACACATAGTCCATTTCCCCCCTTCCTCCCTTCCCATTCTCCTTTCCTTCCTACCACTCCCCTCCCCTCTTCTATTTTGTCTGCCTGCCTGCCTGTTTGCCTCCTTCCCTCTCTCCTTCCCTCCCTCCCTCCCTCCCTCCCTCCTTATCTCTCTCCCTCCCTCCTTCCCTTCTTCGTCTCTTTTCCCCTTTACTCACCCACCCTCCCTTCTCCCCACTTCCCTCCTTCTCCTTCTTTCCTTTATTCCTTTTTAGTGGTGCTGGGGGTTGAACTCAGAGCCTGTGCTTACTAGGTAAATGCTCTACCACTTGAGCCATGTCTTCGCCCATCTTTGGCTTTAGATTTTTTCCGATAGGATATATGTTTTTGCTCCCGGAGGCCTCTCATCACAGCCTACTCACCTGCTGCTCTCATGTGCGGAAGTATGCAGGAGTTCCCTTTTCTCCACACTTTCCCTGATGCTTAGCTTTAAAAAAAAATAATTGCCATTCTGACTGGTGTGAAAATATCACATTATGTATGGTTTCGATGTGCATCTCCCTGATGGTTAGTGGTGTTGAGCAGTTTTTCATATAATTGCTAATCATTTGTATGTCTTGAGAAGTACCTTTTCTTTCCTTTTTTTTTTTTTTTAGTCAGGTTGTCTGGGTGTTAGACTCTTATCAGATATATGACTTGCAAATACTTTCTCCTACTCCAGATGTTCTTCCTTTGTTGGTTGTTTCCTTTGCTTTGCAGAATCCCACCATTCGTAATTTAAACTCATACTAAGATTTTTTTTTTTCCTATCATGAGACTTGAACTCTAGGTCTGGGCACTCTACCATTTGAACCACAGCGCCACTTCCCATTTTCTGGTGGTTAATTGGAGATAAGAGTGAAGTGGCCCTGTGGCTCAAGTGGTAGAGCGCTAGCCTTGAGCTGAAGAGCTGAGGGACAGCGCCCAGGCCCAGAGTTCAAGCCCCATGACTGGCAAAAAAAAAAAAAAAAACCCACAAAAAAAGAGTCTCATGGACTTTCCTGCCCAGGCTGGCTTTGAACTGCAGTTCTCAGATTTCAGCCTCCTGAGTAGCTAGGATTACAGATGTGAGTCACCAGCAGCCAGCTAATCCTAATATTTAAAATCTAATATCTACATGTTTATTAAAGTGACCTGTCTTTATTTATTTTTAACATCTTGATGTACTTTTCATCTTCTTGGGGTCACCATGTTCCCTTTTGGAATTATTATACAAAACCTACATGAATTACAGTTTCACTGTAAATGTTCTAAACAGAATGAACGGGTAACAAAACATGGAAATCTGCATATTTCCTTCCACAGAGGTAACCACTGTCAGTATTTAGTGGTGTCTTCTAGTCTCCATCCATTCACAGCGGGATGTACACAAACATTTGTGAAAAGGGTCTCATATTCTGTGTGCTCTACAGTAACTTCTGATTTTCTTTTACCCATAACACACTGTGTTTTGGGAACTCTTTCCATGTCAGGATATACGCTTCCAACTTCTTTCCATTCCATTCCTTTTGTTGTTTCTTTAATGGTATATAGTATTATTTCATTTTACGGTTATTCCTAATATTTAAAGCAGTCCTATGCAAGCATATGTCTTTGTACAAATGCACAAGTTTTCTGTTGGATAGGTGCCTGGAAATGGAATTGCCAGCTCAAACACTATTTTTGGTTTTGATAAATGTTCCAGATTGTCTTCCCACAGGAATTTACTAATTTTACCTCATACTAGTGGTGCTGGTGAAGAGGGTTTGCTTTGTCATTATTTTCATTTTTTTTTTCAGTGTGATAGGTGAAAAGCCATACGTGAATACTGTAATTTGGATCCGTCTAGGTTGTGTCTCTTTAGATCTGACCTTAAATGCTTTCTGCCTTTTTAGAATTTCTCAGTGCTACCAATGACTTTACAAAAATCTTTCCTTTTTGCTTGGGCTGAATCTACCACTCTATCAGTGTAGGGTAGCAGATATTTTCTGTCTTCATAAAATCTGAGGCAGGAGATGGAATAAACTTGTACACTCAATCCATTGTCCTGAGGAATTTATTTTTGAATGACACCTTAACAGTATTTTATATTATTATTATTATTTGCCAGTCCTGTGCTTAACTCAGGGCCTAGGCTCTGTCCCTGAGCTTCTTTTGCTCAAGGCTAACACTCTAACCACTTGAGTCACAGCACCACTTCTGGCTTTTTCTGTTCATGTGGTACTGAGGAATCAAACCCAGGGCTTCATGCATGCTAGCCAAGCACTTTATCACTGAGCCACATACCCAGCTCCTTGTTTTTTTGTTTTTCTGGTTTTTTTTTTTTTTTGCTTTTTAACATTTACTATACTATATATACAACTAGTATATAATATTTTACTCAGTGTCCATCGTGTAGTTGCAGTAATTTCTTTACTGATATCAAGCCCCAAAATGCTATTGTTGTAAATAATGTGGGACTAAAAGCTTAACTGGCAACAGTTTATAACGTTAGTGCTGTCTGTCAGTGATTTCTGAATACAGAGATGCTCTCTGGGTTTAAGCCCAAGAACCACAAAAAATAAGCATATAAAATCTGAAAGAGTGTTACTGTGTTCACATACTACACAACACACACATAATACATGTCAGATGTGACAGGGCTGTCCTCTGCTACTTAATATCTTAGAAATAAAGCCTTTTGAGGCTTTGAAGACTGATGTGGCATTTTTGTTTTTCAGTTATGGTATTTCTGCTTCGGTAAGACACTCACTCGTGATAGATTTTGTTAGTTTATATACATTCTGTCTCTCTCTTTCATATACACATAGATACATACAAATAAGCCATTCTTCAGGACCCCTGAGGGATTAGTTCTAGAACCTCTAAGGTTACCAAAATACAAACTACACTTTCCCATACATTTTAAGTCATCTCTAGATTACTCATAGTACTTACTACAATGTAAGTGCTATGCAAACAGTTTTGTTTTTTTTTTTGTTTGTTTGTTTTTTGTCGGTCATGGGGCAACTCTGGGCTTGGGCACTGTCCTTCAGCTCTTCAGCTCAAGGAGAGCACTCTACCGCTTGAGCTACAGTGCCACTTCCGTTTTTTTCTAGTGGTTTTTATTGGAAATAAGAGTCTCAGAGACTTTCCTGCCCGGGCTGGCTTTGAACTGTGATCCTCAGATCTCAGCCTCCTGAATAGCTAGGATTACAGGCATGAGCCACTGGTGCCCGGCACAAACAGTTTTTATAATGTACTGTTTCAGGAATAAAAAGAAAACAAAGGTCTGTGTATGCTTATTTTATTTTTTGGTCGGTCATAGGTCTTGAACTATGGGCCTAGGCACTGTCCCTGAGCTCTTCAGCTCAAGGTGAAGGCTCTAACACTTGAGCCATAGCACTACTTCCAGTTTTCTGGTGGTTAATTGGAAATGAGTCTCAAGGACTTTCCTGCCTGGGCTGCCTTTGAACCACAATCCTCAGATCTCGGCCTCCTGAGTAGCTAGGATTCCAGGCGTGAATCATCGGTACCTGACACAGATGCATTTTTTTTGTTGCAGTTGTTGGTCATAGGGCTTGAACTCTGGGCCTGGGCATTGTCCCTCAGCTTTTCAGCTCAAGGCAAGTGCTCTAACAGTTGAGCCACAGAGCAACTTCCAGTTTTCTGGTGATTTATTGGAGTTAAGAGTCTCACGGACTTTCCTGCCTGGGCTGGCTTTGAATCATGATCCTCAGATCTCAGCCTCCTGAGTAGCTAGGATTACAAGCATGAGCTACTGGTGCCCGGACATAGATTCATTTTTTTATGAGTATTTTCAATTCACAGTTAATTGAACCTGTGGATGTAGAATCCACGATTGTTGGGAGCCAGTTGTACTCACAAAGGAAAGACAGTTGCATCTTAGCATGTGTACCTTGCTACTTCTTTGATGTTGGCCCTTGCTGGTTGAATCTCTTTATTGGATGGTCTATGTTGAGTGTGGTCTCTCTCTGGGTTCAGTCTCCAGGACAGGGAGGGTACTCGCCCTACATGGCACTGAGTACCTGCTCTGGCTGAATAGTTTGCTTTCCTGATGCTTTGGTGACTTCCCAGTGAACTGGGAGCACTCAGAGGTGTAAGTTGTGGCTACAGAAAGAAAGAGGGTTAGAACAAGCTCTCAGGGATGACACTGTGGGCTTGATGCTTGGCTCTTTATATCCTCTGGGCTATGTACTTCTGTAGTATACATTTGAGTTATTTGGAAGACCTCTAATTTGATTAAAGACTATAGAGAAATTTTTGCAAAGTATCTGAACTTGTTTTGTGACTTCAACCTGTGAAATGTCTCCTTTTTCCCCTCTGATAGCATGTGGAGAGGGCCAAATGTGAACTGTGTTGACAGCACCGGCTACACACCCCTGCACCATGCTGCGCTGAATGGTCATAAGTAAGTACTAGTGAGCTACCTTTCTGCCTGCTCTGTGTCTGGCTTTTGGAGTGTTCTTTTGCTTCCTATTGTCCTTTGTTGTGAAACAAACGAACACAAGCTAAATTTCACCCATTCAGAATCCCCCCCCCCCTTTTTTTTTGGTCAGTCATGGGGTTTGAACTCTGGGCTTGGGTGCTGTCCCTCAGCTCTTCAGCTCAAGGCGAGCACTCTACCGCTTGAGCTACAGCGACCACTTCTGGTTTTCTGGTGGTTTATTGGAGACAAGAGTCTCACAGTCTTTCCTGCCCAGGCTAGCTTTGAACTGCGATCCTCAGATCTCAGCCTCCTGAGTAGCTAGGATTACAGGTGTGAGCCACCAGCGCCCAGCTCTCCTCCTTTTTTTTTTTTTTTTTTTTGCCAGTCCTGGGGCTTGAACTCAGGGCCTGGGCGCTGTCCTTGAGCTTCTTTTGCTCAAGGCTAGCACTCTCCCCTTAAGCCACAGTACCACTTTAGGCTTTTTCTGTATATATGGTACTGTGGAATAGAAGCCAGAGCTTCATGCATGCTAAGCAAGCACTGTCCCACTAAGCTACATTCCCAGCCCATTTTTTCCCATTAATTCTCCTGCCCCTCCTGAAAAGTGTTTAGCTAAAGGTTGAATTTTACCTTTTTTTTCCCCCCGCTTGTCCTTTTTTCTTTGAAAGATTCCAGTGCTATTTAGTGCAATGCTAGCAATATGGAGAACAAATTTGGTGTGCTCAGGTCAGAAGGGGACTGGGATCTCTTGGCAGACTAACCCCTTGATAAACAAACGACTCAGCGGGCATGGGAAACTTGTCTTTACTCTGTTTCCTCCCCGTTGCCATTATTTTGCCTCATAAAATTAGCCCTGTAGATAAGAAATAGGGGAAAATATGTACATAATAAACACTGCCTGTTTCATTTTCTTAAGTATAAGGAAGTTTCTGGATTCTTGGGTGGCATTCATCTGGAAATACGACATTTTTCTGAAAGATGTGGGCCCAGGGGTGAAGTAGTCTGAGGGCAAGGCAGAGGCTTAAATGCATGGGCTTCAGGTAAGGGAGCTGTGGTAGCCCAGCACAGGGTAAGCACAATTAAGACCTCTTCCCTCCTAAGTAATGGAAACCTGAATTGAAGTGAATGTTGAACTCAAAGGACTATAGCTTGTTAGCCAAGTTCATATCCACACACTGCTTCTTATTTATAGTGAGGATTTTCTTTGGCCTAATGTGCTTAATGAGTGCTGTTGCAAAAAGAGAGCCAACTCCTCTTTCTGGAGCTATCAAATGATTCCATATGTGTCTGGCTTATGTTGACAACAGCTTGAGTTCTGCCTTGCCTGTTCATTTGCAGCTCCAGAACCACCAAATTATGAATCACTAAATTTGAATAACATGGTGGAACTTGTCTTGTTTGACTACTTTCTTTGTGTATGCCAATCATGGGGCTTGAACTCAGTCCTGGGTACTGTCCCTGAGCTTTGTTTTTACTCAAGGCTAGCTACCTCCAGCTTTTTGGTGGTTTAATTATAGCTAAGAGCCTCATGGACTTTTCCTACCTCAACTGTCTTTGAAGCATGATCCTCAGATCTCAGCCTCCAGAGTAGCTAGGATTACAGGAATGAGCCACCTGTGCCCTTTGCCCAGCTGTTTGACTACTTTTATGTAAATTCTATCCCTGAGTGCTACTTTAAACATCACAAACCAGAAAATGGTTCAAGATGTAGGGAGGGAGAACAGAGGTTTTCAAAGTAGTGGGAAGCGGATGGATGGGTCATTGAGAAGGCCCTCCTGGGAGGCACTGAGTCATTGGCTCATGATGGTTCTGACACAAAGTTCTGGGAAGATGAGGAAAAAGCCTGACAGTGAACTCAGGAAGAGACAGCTTAGTCAGTAAGATCCTATCTGGGAGGGCCTTGTGCTACAAATATAAAGATCTGGTAGCAGGAAAGACTTTGGGGTTCTTTTGCAGACTCATGATTGATTTTTGCCTTCTAGGGATGTGGTCGAGGTCCTCCTGAGGAATGATGCACTTACCAATGTGGCTGACTCAAAAGGCTGTTACCCTCTGCATTTGGCAGCCTGGAAAGGAGATGCCCAGATAGTGCGGTTGCTCATCCATCAAGGGCCCTCACATACCAGAGTCAATGAACAGGTTGGAAGAAGAGAAGCTTTCCTCCCTATATTCAGCTACAGATGCACTGTGGCTGTCCATCACCATTACAGTCACAGAGTGCATACCTCAGAGCCATTTCATCCATATCCCACACTCGTCCTCCTCACATTCATACTGCTGTACCAGGAGGAAACATTTTATATGTGTCTGACTAATGCAGATTTGGAATAGTACCATAATAATCATATACACTATACATGCAGAATTTGAAATAATGAAATCATTCAAAATTGCATAGTACCAATTTAAAACTTGTGGACTGCATAAATTGAGTTTATGCAGTCAACATTGCAATGCAATGTTCTCAGTGTTTGTCAGTACTATGTGAGTCATTTGTTATTTTACATACATCAGAACATGCAGGAGTGGCCAGATATAGTACACATTTATAATCCTAACAACTGCATAGGTAGAAGCAGAAGTATCTTGAGTTCAAAGCCAGCACTGATAAGAGTAGTGAAGCCCCATCTCAAAAACGAAAATAAAATGAAAAGGGCTAGGGTGTGGCTCAAGCAGTAGAATGCTTGCCTAACATGTGTAAGGCCCTGGGTTCAAGCTCCAGTGCCACAAAAAAAGAAAAGAGAAAGGAAGGCAGGAAAAAAAAAGTGGAAATACAGGTTAGTACTGAAAAATAACTAACAAGTCAGAAATGTTATTGGAGGTCAGAAGTCATCCACTGGAATGAAGATCATAAGAAATAAATGATAAGTGAGAAAGCAGAGATAATTCTTAGAAAATGAGAAAGACAGGATGTGCGTGGTGACACACATCTATAACCCTAGCTGCTTGGGGAGTAAATTCTGAGAGGTGTGAGAGGCCAGCCTGGGCAAAAAGTTAGCAGGACCCAAACTGAACATCATGGCCTGCATCTGTAATCCCAGCTACACAAGAAGTATGGGTAGGAGGATTATGTTCTGAGGCCAGCACCCCTCAAAAAAAGTGAGAGACCCTATCTGAAAAATAAAAAGGGATCGGAAGTGTGGCTTTAGTAGTGGAGTGCCTGCCAAGCAACACTAGGCCTGGAGTTTAAACATTTTTTTAAAGCAACATTTGAGGAAAATACATAAGGTACACATGATGGTTCACATGTCTGTAATCACAGCAGTTAGGAGGCTGAGGTAGGAAGACTGAAAATTTGAGGCACGCCTGGACTATCTTAAAAGGAACAACAAAACCTCCACAGTCTTGAAGTGCCAGATTTAAATATTCCTAGAATACATTTCTTTTGAGTTATTCCTTTGGGAAAATGATAGTTGAGTTATGCAGCGCTGAGACAAGTCTCCCCCGTGAGTCCCTCCCTGGATCAGAGCCTGGCTGGGGGAAGGAAGGGCCCCCGTGGGGGCAGGGAGACCTTTCTCTATATGACAAGCCAGTCTCCTGTGTTCCGCTTGACACTGAGCTGAAGCAGGTGATTTTCTCATTGCTTGGATGAAGGAGATGCTGCTCTTTCTCATAAGATGAGGACTGTTCAGTGACTTTGCTGAGAGGAGATTGTTAAATTACTTACAAGATTTAACAAGATTTTTCCTCAAAAAGTAAGAAATCAATAGGATCCAGGTAAGTTCTTAGTAGGCTGTTAAGAGCATGACTTGATTCTGAGAAGGTCCTCTTCTCTCTGAGCGGAAGTCAAGTCCAGTCCCTAGATATCTCCATCTTCAGATTGTAGTTATGTCACCCACTATGCCTCTCCATGTAATGGGTTGGGCAGGTGAGCAACAGACACTTCAAATAATCAATGAGAATGCTGGCATAGAACATTTGGGATGCAAATTGTCTCTTTAGAATTGCCTCTGTAGACTCTAAATGCGATTTTACTCCTCCTGACCTCAGTGATAATTTCTTTTCTCTGGAGGGAATGTATAAAGAAGCTTGCTTATAACTAATATTCTTAAACATTGAAAAATGGGATTGCCCATTAAAGTACTTTTTAAAGCAATTTTCAGCAACCATTTCTAATCCTGCCTTTTGCTTGGAACACAGCTGCTTGTATTTTTGAGCCACTTGAGTGTGCTAGCTTGTCCAGCTCACAGCTGCCTCCTGCCTGGAGTATTCATTGTTATGTGGAGTCCAGCCCAAGTATTTGAGTATCTGGCAGGCAGGTGGGTGGGGAAGGGGCTGGCAAGATGACTACGGTAGCTTGAACACCCTAATTAATGTAGGTAGTTATAAGCACTGCATTGATTTATTTAAAGCATAAATGTGGTTCCCACTGGATGCTTGGACATAAGTGGGTACTGAAGTATTGAGGTTGTCTTCCCCATGAACTTCTTTGTGAGGCATCCAGAAGGCAGATTCAAGTTATTCTAGCATTGGGCCCGCCTCGGGCAGTATATTGCTTTGATATATTTCATCCATTTTATCATCACCTTTTCTTTTCCTCTCCTTTTTGTAGAATGCTCTTGAGATCAAAGAACTCAAAAAGTACGGCCCCTTTGACCCTTATATCAATGCCAAGGTGTGTACTTTGTTGCCAGGATTTCTCTGCATCATTCTTTCTCCATGCTGTACTTCTGTGGTCCCCTCTGGCGTCTGCTCTTGTCCACTCAGGCTCCTCCAATCACCCTCACTGTTGTTGCTTCAGCACGTCTGCTTTGGCTGTTTGGGAACAGGAAAATGCAGCTGTCCTGCACATGGTTTTATTTATTTTTAAATTTTTTTATTGATAATATAAAGGAGGTATACAGAAGGGTTACATGGTTTTATTTTTAAAACCCCTACTAATTCTGGAAAGGTGGACCATCTGAAATGGCAGCAACAGGGAAATAGAAGGGCCCATTGTATAATTAGTTTGCTACTGCAACTTCTAAAATCATTTAAATTTTTTTTTAAAATAGCACTCAAACGGGGCTGGGAAGGTGGCTCAGTGGTAGAGTGCTTGCCTTGCATGCATGAGGCCCTGGGTTCAATTCCTCAGCACCACATTAAGCAAAAAGAAAAAAGCTGGAAGTGGTGCTGTGGCTCAAGTGGTAGAGCGCTAGCCTTGAGCTGAAGAGCTGAGGGACAGCGCCCAGGCCCAGAGTTCAGGCCCCACAACCAGACCACCCCCCCCCAAAAAAAAAAAAAAAGCACTCAAACAAATTAACTTACTTTTGAATAAGCACAGAAAAACGATTAACTTTGAAAGTCAAATCTGACTTTCTCTCAGGTTTCAATAGCCATGGTGGAAGTAGGCGTGTGTGAAGACTCTGCTTTAGTCTTTGGAAAGCTCCTGCTTACCACTTCCCTCTTGCATCTAAGAGCTTCTGCTTTAACACATGATGCTTTACAGCTTCAGTCCAGTCTCTCTAGCCATTACCTTCTCTTTCTGCTTGTTCATCCTTGACCCATGTAGGGCTATGAAGTAGGAAATGATGTAGCTGGTTATGCCAAGGACAATGGCCTAGTAGTATCCAGGGCTGCAGTAGGGTTGATAGATGTGTGATGAGCAGCCTAGCCTTCTCTGCCCTCAGGTCTTCCCTAGGGAACTTTGAATCTTATCAGCTGCATTGCACCAAAAAACAAAACAAAACAAAATGAAAACCTTGCAGAGCAGAAATTTCATGCTCCCCCTCCCCAATAGATTTAGCAAATAGCAGTTCACCAAGGGCTGACCCTGGATGTCTTGTAGGAGATTTTAGCTGTTGGGCCTTAATGGAAGAGAAGCACTTTAATCCTAGGTAGTACAGCATCTCAATCTGTTTGTTTTTTAATGTTCTTGTTTTCAAATGGAAAGATACTATGTTTTAGATGCTTTGGGTGTGGAGGTGGGGAGTAGAACAATAGAGTAGAAAACTTATAGGTCATAAGCTTTCTTATAAGATCCAAACTTGAGTTCTGGGCTGCTAGTTTTGAGTTTTGTTGTATTAAATAAGTTGCTTGATTTCTCTGAGCCTGGTTTCCTCTTCTATAAAATGGGATGTCAAACCAAAAGCCATTAGCTCACTAATCCCAGCCTCTTGGGAGGTTGAGCTGTGAGGATTGAGGTTCAAAGCCAGCTCTAGCTGATAAATCCAAGAGACAATCTTCAGTTAACTAGCAAAAATACTGGACTGGAGGCAAAGCTTAAGTGGTAGAGCACTGGCTATAAGTGAAAAAGCTGTGCGAGAATACATGGCTTGAGTTCAAGCCCCAGTACCTGCACAAAAAACAAAACTTGCTACATTGTTAACTCGACCTGTGTTTGCGAGGTATGTGCTTTACTACTTGAGCCTTGTCACCAGCCCTGGTTTGGAGGATTTTTTTCTTCTTTTTATTGGTTTGGAGTTTTAATAAGATAAAGTTAAAAATCTGGTAACTAGTAATAGTTGAGGCCCTAATTTTTTAATGTACATAATGTGGTATATTTACAAAAACATTTGGAATCTTTTTGTTTCTAGTAGGTGATGATTAGTGAAACATTGCCAAGTTAGACTCTTCGGGGCTTGGTTTTGCGGGGAAGGACCTGAGGTTATTATTTCCTAGTGGTGGTTTAGTTAGCTTGTAAAGCTATGATTAAAGGCTATGACTTTGGTTTTTAGAAGTACTTTAATTTTGGCATGCATAAAAGAAAATTGTCTGAATGTAATGCAAACCTACTCCTGTCTTTGGAAGCATGGTTGGTTGCTCCCTCCCCCTCTCAAGACCTAATGATGCCCACTGCTGGAAGGGTCAGAGCGGTTTGCTTATGCTGAGTGTTCGGGTCTTTTGTAGCTGATCCTTCTGAAGCCAGTTCTGTCTAGCCTGCCCAGGTTTGTCCTGACTTCATGGTATTTTATTAACTTGGCTCATGACTAGGAATTATTTTTGCTAAATTACACTTCAATGCTAAATCCTATTAAGTACCAGTAAAATTTTAGAACTTTTAGCTGGCATTCTGGGAACAGATGTGGTTTTGTGAGTTCTTTTAGTTGTTTTTGAGCCACTCACTCAGTACATGGCATTTTTGTTACAACAGCTTAAGAAGGTTCATCAATTTTTTTTCCCCTCTCCTAATTTTTGAGGTTGAACTCAGAGCCACACACTTGCTATACGGGTAGTGTACCCTCTGAGCCAGACATCCAGCCCAAATTTCCATGAGTTGTGATAGCTTCTGTAGCATTTGAGGCCTTTCCTTGTTCAGCAAAGGAACACTGAGCAGGCCAAATGTAAGTCACTGTAGTTAAGGTGAAACTGTGAAAATGTTTATCCCCTACCTTATAACCACTTTGATGCCTCTGAATATCATGGAGTTGGCAGCAATTAGTTTTAGGGCAGGTCTATTCTATCCACTTAAAGAGGCTTTGCACTCTCAGAGCTGGAAGGGACTTGAGTTTATCTAGAACCACAATTCTGAGTGCTGTTGGGCAGTATCAGAATCATGTGGGAAGCTTTTAAAATCTGTTTGGGAACAGTTCCCAATTTGCAGTGAAATGTGGTGTGTGCTTCTCATTACTCCAGTGGTTAACATTTCCCAGCTGGCCATCTCTGTATGTATACGTTTAATTGTTGCTGTAACTGAGGACAAACTACTTGTAGTGAAGTCATGAATATCATGACTCTTCAATCCTAAATGCTTCCATTTAGTGTTAATTAGTTCTTCAAATTAAATCTCCCAAGAACAAGGAAATTTATTTATGCAACCATGATTATTAAGTTCAGAAAATGCAAAATTAAGACAATATTATCCAATACATGATCTGTGTTCACATGCTGCCAATTATCAATAGTGTTCAGAGCACTTTCCACAAATGTGGAATGCTTCACAACACTGTGTGGCATCCTGGTGCAGGGGCCATGCTAATCTTCTCTGTACTGGTCCAGTTTTAGTACATAGGCTGCTGAAGCGAGCACTAGAGCTTGTTTTTTGTTTGTCTTTTCCCTTTGCACTAGTATCCAACCCAGAATCATGTAAAATGTGGAATTGTTCTTCCTTTTCTTACTCTTTTATGACATTGGCTCTGTGTGTGTACGTATGTGTGTGCATGCGCATGTGTGTGCGTGTGTGTGTGTGTGTGTGTGTGTGTGTGTGTGCTCACGTGTACACAGCAGTACTATAGCTTTCAGTTTTCTTGCTCATGGCTGGTGCTCTACTATTTGAGTCACGTCTCTAGTCTTTTCTGCTCCAAATGGCCCTGAACACTATTCTCCAGGTTTCAACTTCTTCTGTAGCTAGGTTGACAGGCATGAGCCACCAGAACCTGACTTGACGCTGGCATTTTGTAAAAGCATAGGCCAGCTGCTGTGTGAACTGCTCCTTAGGTTTACCTGGCTGTCCCTTGAGATTAGATTCAGATTATCCATTTCTGATAGGAATGGCACAGACAGAGCTGCTGTTTGTAGGGCATCATATCACAGGGCATATAATGTCAGTTTGTCTCCTTGATGAGGATAATAACTGAGTTGGTGCCTATGGGTTTTTGTTTTGTTTTGTAATACTGATGATGGAACCCAGGATCTTTGCACATACTAAACAAATATTTTTCCATTGAGCTATAACTCTAGTCTTTGTTTTTCTTTGAGACAGAGTCTCATGGTATAGTTCAAAACAGCCTTGAAGTGATCATCCTCCTGTCTCAAACTTCCAGTTACTGTACAACCAGACTGGCAGAGTCTTAATAATATTTTTCCCTCGCCTTCCCTTTGAGGTGTTTCTTGGTAAGTCTGAGATTATACATACTACCAATTATTTTTCAGCTTCATGTAATTCCAAGTGAAGTTGGTTTGAGAGCCACTGATCAGGAATGATCTTGCTCTATCCCTGAAAGGTTGGCCATCTGTCCTTTATTTATGTATTAGTTTTTCTTAACAACAGACAATTCATTTCTGCGTGGTAGCCTCTTCTTAGATACCACTGATTTCTACTTTCTTATGTTTAGTTGATGTCTGTATTCCTAAACCTTTCGTTTTGGCTGAAATTCTGCTTTCTAGAGTACTGGAGAATATAAGTCTGACTCTTCTTTTACATTATAGATTTGGTTCTCTTGTCTTTCACATATCTACAGTCTCATAGACCCAGTTTTTCCTTTCCAATTTGGATGCTCCTAGAGCCTGTAGAATAACTGTAGCCCAGGTGTCCCTAATGTAAACAGATCTCTGTCACCAAGGAATAAGAATAAATGTGCCCTAGAGGTGTAATCCAAGCACAGGAAGGTGATGATCCTGATATACTTCCAAGAAGAGAAAGGAATAGAAATGTTTCTGTATAATTTTCTGCTGCTTGTAGTTTGTGAATATATAATATGTTTAGATTGATTAATTGATTGATTTATACTTGAATGGACTCTTCAGATACGAGAATTAGAGAATTAGCCACAGAGATCTCTTTTTTCTTAGAGGTACCAATCATAACAAAGAAAAGTGGGAGGGAAAGCCAGGGTGGGTAGGAAAGAAGGGTTTTAGGTTATTTCATCTCATTCCCTTTCCTTATAGTAATATGCATAATATATATGATTCCAAGAACTCTTGAGGCATGAGCACCTGTAGTGTCACTGGAAAGGAGTAAAAGGGAAGGATTCCAAATGGCTCCTTGGAATCACCTCTTTCTTGAGGATCTCTGAACCAACACTTAACTGTTTCTTTTTTTTTTTTTTTTTTGGTCATTCGTGGCATTTCAACTCTGGTCCTGGGTGCTATCCCTGAGCTACCACTTGAGCCACAGCGCCACTTCTGGTTTTCTGATGGTTAATTGGAGATAAAAGTCTCACATGGACTTTCCTGCCTAATCTGGCTTTGAACCATGATCCTCAGATCTCAGCCTCCTGAGTGGCTAGGATTATAGGCATGAGCCACCAGTACCCAGCTTTAATGATTTCTTAACCCAACAGTTGTCAAGCTCAAAGAGCAGACTTAACCTCAAGAGAGTTATAAGTACTAAACATATCTAGCAAGAGTGAAATACACTTAGGTACTTTCTATACAAATATGGCCATAACTTTTTGCATATGTGGTCGGACCATTATTAACAAGGAATTTTTCAGTAATGATCCAGATTTTTTGCCTTTAAAGAGGCATCTTTGTGACACCTGCCTTTATTCTTGTAAAAACAAAGCAAAACAAAACAAAAAAACTGTGTGTTGGGGGGAGGGGAGAGGTAGAGTAGGTGCTAGACACTGAACCCAACCTATGCCTGTTAAGCATGTGCTCTAACCCTGAGCCTGGACTTTGCTCTCAACCTTTGTATTTTATTCTCACTGAATAGAATTTTATATTTCTTCAGTTCCTAATGTCACACTGTTTACAGATTCAAGGACAGATTATTCTGGATGTTGGGAGACAACTTGGATGTGAAAGAAACAGTACTATTTGCCTCTGAGTAAACAAGTTTTTCTGGATTGGAGTTTTAATAAGAATAAGCCGACTCCTTGGCCCTTGCTGTCATGCTAATCTTGAGATGTAAAACCCAGAGGATACGCTTAAGATTCTCTGGGCGCTAATCTTGAGATGTAAAACCCAGAGGATACGCTTAAGATTCTCTGGGCTGCCACTCTGCCCCAGAGTTCTACAAAGCTCCTGTGAGTCCTGTTGCTGTAGCAGTGTGATTTTCATCAGGAGAGTGAGAACTGACAGCTCTGGGTTTGCTCAGGGAACTCATGCCACCAAATAGGAAATGAGCATTCCAAGTGGTTCTCCAGTTGGTTTGTTTGGCATAGGGAGCCCCAAGTCTTTGCTTTCTGCCCAACAGTTGCCCTTCCTTCAGACTTCTAGGTTGACATAGAACTCATTCGTGGGGCCCAGGGTGTCACAGGAGGCAGTTGCTAGTAGGCTGGGTACGGTAGCCATGGAAGGCTGCGCTTTCTCATCAGCTGCTGTTCCTGAGCTGTGCTGGAGCTCAGTGCCCCTCCCTCTGCATCTTCTGTTTTATTTATTTGTGTGCCTTTCTCTTTGCATGTGCTCTTGCTGCTCTCTTTTCTGACCTCTTTTTCATTTAAAATGTCTTTGCTGTGATTTTGCCCTCTTGGGGCCTTGCTCCCAGCAGCTCTGGATCTTTCTGGTACACTTGGTATAGCTGGAAAAAATGATGCAGTCAAATGCCAGATCAAAAGCAGATGGAATTGCGTGCATGTTTGGGTAACTCCTAATACACTACTTTAATGTCATTAATTGAATTAAACAATGGTAGCAGTACTTGATTTTTACCTCTTGACCACTGAGAAGTGCACAATATTAACGTGATGGACAGCCTCCCACTTAAGCTTTGTTTCCCCAAAATGGCAGAAGCCTCTTGGAGAAATTTGGGGATTTCAAAATCTTGTGGGAGGATTATTTTCATTGGGGCTTCTCAACAAGGAGAGAAAGAAACATAATTAAAATTGCTAATGTTTTGCTTCTGATAGCTGAAAAAGCCCAAATATTTTTTCCTGTTACATTAAGACCGCGTGTTTAGTTTTAAACAAAATTGTCCCTAGAAGGTTATAAGTTATGAATCTGAATTAATGTCAGTGTTACGTTTTAATATTTTGCACCTCTCATAATCAAACATTCCAGGTCTAATTGTACCCTTCTTACCTAAGAAGTGCTTTCCTGTGTGGGCTTTTGTTTTAGTGGAGTAGATACTGCATGTATTGATTGGTAAAGGCTCCTAGAGTGTTGGTGCTAGGCACAGGGCAGGGGCCATGTCCCTTCACAACTGAGCGAGTGCCTTGCTCCACTGGAAATGGCTGTTGGCTGATACCTTGAGAGTGGTGCCTTTTTAGTACTTAACTCTGTTATTTCCATTGTTGGCTGATTGATTTGCATGCAAGAAGTTACACAGATGACCAAACCCCTCACCTTAAAAAAAAAAAATTGTGTGAAAGGCAGGGGATAGCTGAAAATTCCAGAATCAAAAGCGCAAGGTTGAAAATGCATAAACTGTAAAAACCAACTGAAGTTTAAAATGAAACAATGGCAGTGATATGATTAGTATTCACATGCACTGGGACTTTTACAAAATGCCTGCCACATTCACTCTCCCTGCAGTTTCAAAATGTAGCCTTCACAGCATGAGGGACTGCAGATGTTTGGGGGACAACCTCTCCCCTCTGGAAGGAAATGGGGAAGCAGTGGCTGAAGGGAAGGATCAGGCTTTCCCCAAGAGTATGCATGGGTTCTGACTTGTATTAGTCTCCAGGTTATTGCTGCAATTTTTCTCATTTAAATTTCAGTGGTTTTTATGTGTGATCATGCTGGCCAGGTACTGGTCTGTCTGTCACCTTTCTGATGCCATGCACTTGTTAACCCTTCAGAACAATGACAACGAGACAGCCCTACATTGTGCCGCCCAGTATGGCCACACTGAGGTGGTGAAGGTGCTCTTAGAGGAGCTCACTGACCCCACCATGCGCAACAACAAGTTTGAGACACCTTTGGACCTGGCAGCACTCTACGGGAGGCTAGAGGTGGTGAAGATGCTTCTCAACGCACACCCCAATCTCCTGAGCTGCAACACAAAGAAGCACACCCCTCTGCACCTGGCAGCAAGGAACGGTCACAAGGCTGTGGTCCAGGTCCTCCTGGATGCTGGCATGGATAGCAACTACCAGGTAGCAGGGCGGATGCTTCTCCCAGGTGCAGGGGATTTAGCTATTTTGGAAAAGGCAAAAAAGCAACATGCTGCTGCGCTCTTATTATTTAGCACATTTCACATCATGTTTCAGGTTCTTCCATTTATTGAATTGTTTTTATGTGCTACTTTAGAGACAAATGAGCTCTTCCCAGTGAGTCTGTTATTTTTATTTTTTTCCTTTTCAGGGAATGATATCTAGTCTTTAAACCCTGAAAAGACATACTATGGCCTATCTTTTAAAATCATTTTCTCCCCGACATATATGTTGCCATGGCCACCAGTCTTTGATGTGATGCTGCTAAGATGACAGCATCTGCCTCCCTTGCTCACCTTCCCCATTCAGGGGATGGGTCATTAATCATCACATTGACCACTCCACATTTGTTGATGTTTTTGTTTGTTTGTATTTTTTTGTGTTGGTCCTGGTGCTTGAACTCAGGGCTTAGGCGTTTCCCTGGGCTTCTTTTACTCAAAGCTACCACTCTACCACTTGAGCCACAGCCGTACTTCTTCTGGCTCTTTGGTAGTTTAGTGAAGATAAGGGTCTTAGACTTTACTGGGCTGCCTTTGCACTACAGTCCTCAGGTATCAGCCTGCTGAATAACTAGGATTACAGATGTGAACCACTCAAGACCAGCTATAATTGCCTCTTAATAAGATCTTGATTCAGTTCCTCTGCTTCCCGTTCCTCTTTCTCCTTCCCCTTTTCCCTTTCCCCTGTGCCCTGTCCCCTTTCTCTTTTCCCCTGTCCCCTTTCTCCTTTTCCCTTTCCTTTCCATATTTGAAATGCTCTTCTTCCCTTTTGTTTTCTAATTCCTTCTATGCAGGAAGGTAGAGGAAGAAGTTTTAGGAAATTTCCCTGCTCAAGTAGCTCCAAGAATAATTGTCATTCACATTTGTCCTGCTGGTGGCATACAAATAAATGGCATTTGTGTATGTGCCATGATTGTGGTTTTAGAACCCACATAAGAACAGTTGGAAGGATAGTGATCAAGGGCTTTGCGTAGTTTATTTCCTGTCCCTTCTTACCTATGTCCCATTTGTCCCATGAGGCCATGCCAAACTGTTCTGATGACATCCTGCTGCGCTCTCATTTGCTTTCCAGACGGAGATGGGCAGTGCTTTGCATGCGGCTGCTTTGTTTGGCAAGACGGATGTGGTGCAAATCCTGCTGGCTGCAGGTGAGAGGTCTGCATGGCATGCTAGGGATGGGGTTGTTTCTCCCTGGCCTCCCCAGAGGGAGGAAGTTTTTGCTAGCTGCATTTGAATTCCATCTGTGTGTGTGTGCGCACACGTGTGTATGTGTGTGTGTGTGTGTGTGTGTGTGTGTATGTATGTCTGTGTCTGTGTGTGTGTGTCTGTGTGTGCATACACACGCTGGTTGATTAGGAATGTATGAACTGCTCCTAAATAGTTGGATTAAATTTGACTGTGGATGAAAAGTATTGGTTGTGCTTTTTGGGAGCTTTAGTTGTCCTGGAATTTGACCTTCAAAGCTGGCTTAAAGAAGCTCACTCCCTTGGTCTACCTGGTATGTCTTTCTAGGAATTGATGTCAACATAAAAGACAACCATGGACGGACTGCCCTTGACACCGTGCAGGAACTGCCCTCTCAAAAGAGCCAGCAGATAGCAGCACTTATTAAAGGTACTAGTACATCTCATCATCTGGGTAACCAGGGATGTTCTAATCAGACGAAGGCAATTGTGTTTTATGCAGCTTCTTTTTGTTCTTTTCATATAGATCACATGACTGGAAAAAGAAGTACGAAAGAAATAGATAAAGCCTCCACACTCCAGCCGTCTCTCCTCCCTAGTATTGACTCCATTGCACAGAAGTCTCAGGGTGAGGCAACTTTCTCTGCCAGTCAAGGGACATCCTGCTTGAGAAGAGCTGACTATTCTTAGGCGCAATGGAAAAATCTTTATTCAAATAATTTCAGGGGGGTTGTGAGTACTTAACAGATTTATATTCAGTTAATTTTTTTTAACTACTATATGAAGTTCTATTGGACATATCTTAGGTCTTCAATTGTGGATGTCTTCTTTCCTATTTAATTTTGATCTCTACTTTTACAGTTGGTTCTGGACTGTGTAAGTATCCTTTTACAGTTGGCTCTGGGCTGTGTAGGATCTTCTGAGGTCTCAATGAACTCTTCCTATTCTATTATACATTGTGTATAGTTGACCAACAGTGTATACTATTGGTAGATGTGCAAATAGCTGATTTTGGTAGTAGATCATTTGGCTAACTAATGTAGTCTGGTTGCATCATCAGCCAGATTCCCTTTTCAGATTTACTGACCATCATTTTGGGTCTTGTGATGAGTGACAAAGACAAAACAAAGCAAAAATGACATCGTCCCCTACATGAAAAATCATAAAAGAAGGCTAGAGAAACTGAACAAAGTTAGAAATGGAAAAGGAATGGGCTGGGAAGGTGGCTCAGTGGTAGAGGGCTTGCCTTGCATGCCTGAGGCCCTGGGTTCGATTCCTCAGCACCACATAAGCAAAAAGAAAAAAGCCAGAAGTGGTGCTGTGGCTCAAATGGTAGAGTGCTAGCCTTGAGCTGAATAGCTGAGGGACAGCGCCCAGGCCCAGAGTTCAGGCCCCACGACCGGACCCAAAAAAAGAAATGGAAAAGGGAAAGGAACCTTCCAGAGGAAAGCAGAAGTAGATGGTTAATAGTCTCTGACCTGTGCTGTGGATTCCTGGTCTTCCTCATCCTTGACCTCGTAGTTTTCTAATAGTGGATTAACCATTCACTGAACTCCTAGCTTTCAAGGGGTTTACATTTGTAGTTTTGACTATTTACAAGCCACCAGAGATGTTCTGAGGTTGGTATTGGCCTAGCAAGTGAGTCAGCTACATAGTGCCTCCTCTCAAAGAGGCTTTGCTCTCCTCTATTTTGCCTGAGCACATGGAGACTGCGTAAAGAATGTAAATAATTACTCACGTTTTCCACTTATACTTCACTACATTTTATGGGCTATGTTTATTTGGAATTTTGTAAAGGTCTTGAGAGGAATCCATGATAGATTTCAGGTGGAGGTTGTTTTTAGTTTGTTTTGCTTATTTTTTTCTGATATGGGGGATTAAACCCAGGTCTGCATATATGCTAAGCAAGAGGTTTACTAGTGAGCTGTATCCCTTCATGTTGAATTAGAGAAAAACCAGTTTAGATGTGAGGGTATAAAAAGCAGCCCTGTATATGTATGTTTTTATGTATTCTTGTTGCTAGAACTAAGTAATCGTTTTTCTGCTCTTAGTGTTTGTCAAGTTCAGATTGCTAAAGAGGCTTTGGGTTGGTGCAGTGGTTAGAAGGCGTGATGGCACCCCTTTTTATTGACTCTGCCTTCCAACCTCCTCTTCAGGTGATGTGGAGAAGGCAGTGACTGAGCTGATCATTGATTTTGACACAAATGCTGAAGAAGAGGGTCCCTATGAGACCCTGTACAATGCTGTCTCCTGCCATTCCTTAGACAGCACAGCCAGCGGGCGATCATCTGACCGAGACTCCGTGAATAAGGAGGCTGAGGCTGCAGGAGCCAGGACTGCTGGGATGAGGCCTGTATGTGGCTAGGAGTTGAACCTGTCTGAGAGCTCTGTGGGGCACTGGAAAGAAATGTGGGAAATGTGGTATCTGCTGGCATTTCAGACACCTGGAGTCCATGTGTTTGGCTTTCTACTAGGCTCTGCCATGTCACTCTTGCTCAGTATGGAAAAACTATATAGATCACATTGAACTAGAATTTGATTTTTCTAATTTCAGTAGAAACAGTTGTGTCTTTCCATTTCTTAACTAACCTAAGGCAAATTAAAAGCATTCCTGTTTAGCTTTAGTGTTGCTTCTACCTTTGGGATGTTTGCTGTATATGGTCTCCTCTCTAAGGAGCAGAAATGAACTGATGTGAACTAAAGAACTGTGAGTTCTTGTCTGCTCTGAGCGCATGCTCACCTTCCATTTCCCTGGAGAAATTATCCATGTGGATTTGAGCAGATTCTGTAGTCAGGGGTATGGCAAGGCTTAATCAGACTTCCATTTATGTTTTAGACATTAGATTTATTAGTTTGTTATTTATTAGTTCTGTTTTATCTAATTATAACAGCCTCAGCCTTGAAATTATAAGATGTGATCAGCCCTCATCCTATCCTCTCATATCCTCTATTCTTAAGTTCCATCTTCTTTTCTTGTTGCTTTCACTTCTAGTTTTGTACTTGATTCTCAACACCCTTGATTCTTCCCTTTTCTCCTAGAGTTATACTGTGAGCCAAGGCCTGAATCTCTGTCCCTCTAGTCCTTCTTCTACATTTCCAGGCATCATAACTGAGGTTTTAGGCATTGCCCATTGGCTCAACTGCCCGTTGCTCCAACAGGATTCCAGTGCTACCTCTTGAGATCTTTTTTCTTCCTGTTGTAGAAGTTGGCCTTCCCTTTTAGTCAAGTCTAACATAGGGTCATTTTGATACTTTTTTGGCTACTAGATAATCCTTGGTCTTTCCCATTGTGCATTTGGAGTAGCCTGATATTTCTTGGAATGTTGGGTTTTGGGGTATTCTTACTCTGTTCTGAAGTAGTCTCATGGCATTTCAATGTAGATCTTGGTAAGCCTTTCAGTCTTGTGGCTTATCAGTCTTATCGAGGACTGAGACAGAACTTGGAAGTGGAGGAAATAGGTGCATGCCCTGAACACCACTAGCATTGTGCTTCTGTAGACTGAGCTAGTTGTTTTTACTTCTTTGGTTCTAGGCACAAATACATTAATTAAATCCAGGTGTGGAGGCTCATTACAGGTGATGACCATTAGGGGGAGCTGGAGCCCTTGTAAGAAGCAGCCCAGGACTATTTGCAGTAGCTGAGTAATGCAGTTCCCATGATTGATTCACAGGCACACATCTCTTTTGTTTCATCCTGCCCTAGAACCCAGCCTCCCCTGGTTGGCTAAATAGAAACTGATGTTTTTGTTTTGAGATAGCGTTTCACTATATAGCATAGGCTGGCCTTGAACTTTTGGGCTCAAATGATTCTCCTGGCTCAGCTTCCCACATAACTGGGACTATAGCCTGACTATCTCATCTGGCTAAGAGTTCGTTTGAGCTTTTGCTAAAGGTAGGGATAGACTGATGGCCATAACATTGAAGTTTGAACAAGAATTTGTGTTTTCTCTTAGATCACTTTTCTCATTGCTTACTTAATAGCCTTGGCTTTAGAACTATTTCACTTTTCATCTGGAGTTCTTTCTTTTTAGAGTATAGTGAAAATTGAGTCTTAACTGAAGTTTTATATACCAGTAATAGGAAAGACATTTTCTAACAAAGCAGTTACAAGTTTTCAGTGTTAGTGTTTCTCCTTGTGGTCTAGGATATGAGAGAAGTTCTTTATGGTCTTTGCTTCTATCACTAAAATCTGTAGAATATGCTAATAGACTGTGCATGTGTGCACAGGATTATACTCTGTTGAGAAACTAAACTTTAATTTTAGTCTCTTGAGTAGATATGGGGAACTTTTTTTTCCTGCCAAGGGACATTTGGATATTTATAACATCATCTACAGACCATGTGTAATCATCGGTACAGGCACTGGGGCCACAAGCAGCTGACAAAATGTGCCTGTCCTGTGATGTTTCAAATGCTTTCACGCACCTTAGGTGCCCCAGGCCAGACAGCCCTACCCCTGCTCTAGAGGGAGTTCTTTGCATTATTCCTTTCCATTTCAAAGGGCTAAAATAAGGACAAATAAAAAAAGTTAGATACTTGAAAAAAAAAAAAGAGAGAGATGGTGAATTTTTTTTTTTTTGGTCTAGTCATGGGGCCTGAACTCTGTCCCTCAGCTCTTCAGCTCAAGGCTAGCGCTCTACCACTTGAGCCACAGCACCACTTCCGGTTTTTTTCTTTTTTGCTTATGTGGTGCTGAGGAATCGAACCCAGGGCCTCATGCATGCAAGGCAAGCGCTCTACCACTGAGCCACCTTCCCAGCCCTTTTTTTTTCTTTTCTACAGAGGGAACGTCCACCGCCACCAGCCAAGCCACCACCTGACGAAGAAGAAGAAGACCATCTCAATAAGAAGTATTTTCCCTCGACAGCTTCTGAGGTAGAAAGTTGAGGGTTTATTCCCGTCTCTGACATAGGAGTTTGTTAGAAAGTGAATCCATGTGTGCTTAAAGAAGGCTTTTGCTTTCTCATTATTTTGTCTTCTTTACTGTTGAACTCAAGGCTTTATGTACCAGGCAACCACTCTACCACTGAGCTATATCTACAGCCCATTTTCTCATCAACCTTTTGCTCACTAAGTTTGTATTGTATAGATCAGTAAATTGGATCAAGACCTTTCAAACTCAGTCAAAAGTATGAAAAGAATTTTAATGTACTTCTCCCACCAATAGGCCAAGTATATAGATCCGGCATACTACATGGAAAGTATGATTCGAACAGTTTAACCATTCTCTTCTATGCCTGTACTGTTTTTTGGTACAAAAGGTAGTGTCCCTACTCAAACTACCATCTAGACTATGCCACATGAGCAAGCCTTGGTAGTTCAATCCTAACACCACTTTTGTTTTTGCATTCTACATGTTCATTTCACTTGAAGATTCTGCTAGTCAAAACATGAATTAAGTCATGACAACCCAATTAGAAAAAAAAATAGGAGTTGTGTAGGAGGGGCAGGCAGGGAAATCAAAGGCTATTTGAAAAGACTAGTCAGATAAGTTAAAAGAACTGTTTTTGGTTGTTTGAGACTGGAAATCAAACTTGGTATCTAAGCCTTGCTTTCAGCTCATTCACTGGTGCTTTACAACGTAGTTATACCTCCAACCCCATAAAAATGGTTTTAATAAAGAAATATTATGGGGCAAATAACTCAGTCTTTAACTTACATATATGAAGAAAATTATGTTTTCTTTGATGTTTCATTTTCAATGTTTCTTTTTTATAAATACATATTTTTATTGTAAAGATACTTTACAGAGGGGTTATAGTTACATGAACAAGGTAATGAATCCATTTCCTATTGAGCATTATTATTCCCTCCTTTGTTTTTCCCCTACCATCCATTTCTTCCCCACCTCCCCAGATTATCCCTCCCCCCCTCCCCTCCAGCAATGTTGTAAAGTTCATTTTCAACATAGTGTCTTGTACATCTCATTGTTACAATGGGTCATCCTGTATCCTTATTTCAGCATTTTGTTATTTCCCTTCCTCTCCTCAAATTAGAAAAATGTATATACAAGATGCAGGACATGGTTCAACATGTTTCTTTAGACATTTCCTACCATCCAGAGAATACATTTATTGAGTATTCAAAATACTGTATAAGTTTAAAGCTGGAGGTGTGACTTAAGTGGTACTTGCCTAGGAAGCCCAAAAACCTAAGTTCAAACCCCAGTACAGCTGGAACAACAATAGCAACAATTAAAAAAAATAAAAACAAAACCATTAAAATCAGTATTAAAGGTAGAGGAGGAATTCTGTTAGGTTCAAATTTTCTCCTTATTTTTCTCTCCCTTACTTGAAAAATACTTATTAGTATGTCAACTAAGGGTCTTTAGAATTGCACCCTCTTATTACTACCTCTGGGTAATAGTACATTGTTAGTTGCTCAAGGACATGCAGTGTTTTTGTGTATGCAGAGGTCTGTTTCATGGCTTCCTTTTTTACAGGGAGAATCCTGAGAGTATAGAGTATCTTCGGTAGGTCTCCATAAATGTCTGGTACCACCTTTGGGACAGAGACCTCAATGAAAATTAAGGATAGGGGCAAGACTCCCAAAGAAATACTAGGTTACCAGGACTTTTATTCTCCTAAGACTTTCTAAAGCATCCTTCAAGAGGTGACAGGGTATGAGGGGATCACTGTCTTCTTTTCAGTAGGAGAATCAGTGTGAGATTTCTCTTCTAGAACATGCTTCTGAATAGCCAGCATAGCTAACAGCCAGCTGAATAGACCAGCACAGTTGGTATTTGGAAGACCGAGAGAACCCTGAGTTTGCTTACTTACTGACTATAGGAACAGGCTACGGAGAGCCTATAGCCCGAGTTAATAGTTTAAAATGATCCAGGTATGTTTTATGTCTCTATCATGGTCTGAATGAGTAAGACTTCTTCAAAAGTGGGATTTATTTATTCATTTATTTTTGCTCTGTAGTCTTAACTGTCTTTACTTCTTATAGCCCTGAGTTTTAAAACTGTAATCCCAGCTACTTAGGAGATGAGATCTGAGGATTGCAGTTTTGAGGGCAACCTGGGCAGAAAAGTTTGTGAGACTGAGCTCTGATTAACCTCCACAAAGGTTAAAAGTGGAGCTTTGACTCAAATGGTAAAGTGTTAACCCTGTGGGAGGGAATTAAGGGACAGTGCTCAGGATCTGAGTTTGGCACCCCCTCCCCCCAAAAAAAAAATCACACACAACCCCTCCCCTCAAAACTTCATGTCCTAAGAGATTCTGTTACATGAAACTTTAGGATTTTTTGTTGCGTATTATTATTATTGTTTGTTTATTCGTGTGGTGCTGGGTTTGTACCCAAGGCCTCATGAATGCTGGGCATGTGCTTTGTTACTAAGCCAGATCCTTAGCTCCAACTTTGGTTTTGTATTTGGCAGTCATCTGCCCCAGTGTTTTATGCCCTGAATGTTAAATTCCCGAGGCACTTGTCATTGTGAGATAACTCATAGAAGCCTTTAAGGAAGCTAAAATCCATCTGTGTCTGGTTTTAACAGTACCTGTCAAAGAGCGTGTGTGTGTGTGTGTGTGTGTGTGTGTGTGTGTGTGTGTGTGTGTGTGTGTGTGTGTGTGTGTGAGAGAGTGTGTGTACACACACACATGCACACAAACCCTCATATACACCCCCACACCCATAACACAAACGTGGTTGAAATGTTTTTTGCCCCCAGGAAGGGGCTGTCAGCTGCCTGGGATGACTGGTCTTTGTGCTAAGTTTCTGTGGGGGTTGCAGCTGCTATGGTATCTTCCAGAAGGCCGCCCACACTCCAACTGGACATTCCATTGGGCACAATTAGGTAGATGGTGGCTGCTCATACCTTTTTTTTTTTTTTTCCATTGCTTTCTACATGGCAGAAAATGTATTTCTTTCCAGCTTTGATTTATTGCCAGGCCTGGAGGAAAGGGAAAAGGAGATTAAGGAGTAATTTAGTAAAGAGCACAATCCTTTCTGTTGAAAATCAGTTGTTGCCATATTCACTGACATAGCTTCTTTGGTGAGAGCCAGGATGGTTTGCAGAAAAGTAGTTTATTGTTTCATTGTGGGATTTTTTTTTTATCCCTTTGCTGGTAGAGGCCAGCCCCAAGAGGAAAAGAGCACCCTTCTTTATTGTCTGGTAGGAGTGAAGGGGCTGTCAGCTGGAGGAGGAAAAATGTTCTAAAATGGAGAAAAGCAATATAGTTCAGAACCCAGGGAACTGTATTTTCTGACCATGGCTCTGCCTTGAACTCACTGTAAGTTGGGACTTAGTGTGTTATCTGCGAACAATAGGGCTGGAGGTTTAAGGTCCCTTCTAGCTGCTTTGATGGTTTTGGTGCCGTTGTCCAGCACAGAGCCAGGTACACAGTGAATGCAGGCCCATGGGCTTCATTGTCCAGCTGGAAATCCTCTGTCCTGTCCTGCTTGAGAAGAAAAGATATAGGTCACACTGTCAGTTACCTCTTACAGAAGCAGCCTGAGGCTTTATGAGGGCTCTTGCTAAGACATAACATGCAAGGAATCAGATTTCCAGGGCCCAGCCTAAGTCTTGGCTATGGTGGAATAAGCCTACACAACACAAATTCCTGTCTGTAAAGCCTGTGGTATTAAGTTGACACAGTGTGAACTTCTTAATGGCTCCTCTTTGTTCCTGTACTTGTATTCCTATGAAAGGCTAGGAATAGTAATAAAGGCAAATGGCTCATTGTAGTGAACCAGCTTTTAGCTTCCAGGTGCTTGCAGTTAAGTGGAGGGTCCCACTGTGCTTAGCAGACTTTTGAAAGAGCCCATCATTCTGACTTTAGAGTGGCAGCCTTGTTAACAAACAGGAGCTGTGGCCTCTCATTTAGTCTGAGGCTAGGAGAGTCCTTGTCATCTCATTAGGCTGTGACATAGCGAGCTGTGCCTTATGGAGGCAAGATCCTGATGCATCACAAATCTGATAGGTTTCATAGGTTTCCACTAAGCTGTGGGATGCTCAGATTGGGAGGTTTCTCTGTGTATGGAAAAGTCACATTTGTAAGGCCTCATTACTTGTTAGGTGCAAATGGAATCCTCTTCCCTCCCACCTGGTTTGTAATAAATTACTTGTCTTAGCCATACTGTTCAACAAGAGATTTTTGCGCTTTGGTTGCTATTCTAAGAGCTATTGTATATGATTATTAATTTGCCTGAGAAACACAATGGCATCTTAGGACAAATAAGCAGAACTGTCCTCTAGAGCAAGAACCTCCATCCTCCCAGTATGGTTATAGTACTTCATCGAGGTTTCTCTGGCTTGTTTTCAGGAGGAAATCTCAGCTATTCTGGAGCCATGCCTAGTGGTGATCACCAGACCCTCAGCTTCACAGCTGCAAGTGTTCTTCCACTGGAGATGCTTGGCTGCTTGAATCATGGCCTTCTCAGTAGACAGAATCTTGCCATAAAATTCTTACCTCTTAGCTGCTTGACTCTTGAGAACAGAGATTCGAGGATGTAATTTAAGATTTTGTTACCTATGTGATAGGAAGCCAGCTTTAGGGAAATTCTTCCCTCCCCTTCATCCCTTCCCTAGCCTTTCCCCAGACCCATGAAGAGAGGCTCACAACAAGATAGACTTACAGATCATTTTGTTTCTAATTGGTAGATATTAAGGATCAGTCAGAAGTTATTTTGCTTCCATCTTGGAAAGATGGAAAGGTTACCAGCCTTTGAATAGTATGTGTGCCTGTTGGAAAAGAAACATGATATTGTGTTCCTAACAGCCACTTGGGAAGTGTTATTCTCAGGAAAGAGATTGTGCAAAACACCATGGAGAGGGAAAGGCAAGGGGAGGGGAAGGGTCATAGATTTTATGTGTTGTTCTTTCAAGGATAAAATGAGGTAGGGAAAGAGGAGCATTCCAATCAAACCACTGAGATTTGACCTAAGGCTGAGTACTTCATGAAGAAAAAGGTTTGCTTATCTCACAGTTTTTGGAAAACCCAAGATCAAGCAGCTCCATCTGGTTAGCTTCTACTGAGGGTCTTCTGGCTGCCCCTCACCATGGTGGATACATGCCATGGTGGGAGCATTCAGAAGCAAGAGTTGGGGAGGTGCCAGGCTTGGTTATAACAACTTAACTCTGTTGGTACTAATCCAGTTCCACAAGACCTAGAACTCCAGAGAAGCAGTCTTAATCCATCCATGAGTAGATCCAATCGTGAATGCTCCCACAGCCGAACCTCCCACTATACCCCATTTCCCAAAGATATTTCTGTTCTTCATCACCTCCACTATGGGAACCAAATTTCCAGCACTGAATCTTTGGGTGGCAAATGATAGCAGATGCAGTTCCCTGTGACACTTGAATTACCACCTTCTCTTCCCCTTAGAGGCAGAGGAGGTGACAATCTTAACTTTGTTCAACACCACCTGTCTGGGTACTCAGGGAATACTGGGTATTTCTCTCTCATAGGTCCTGGCCATGAGACCCAGAATTCAGGGGAGTGCGGCCAGGGAAGAAGATGAACACCCTTATGAGCTGCTTTTAACAGCGGAGACGAAGAAACCAGCATCAGTGGATGAAAGAATGAAAGGTACTCCCCACCTCACTCCCCACGGCAGAAACAACTCCAGAAAGATTTGAAAAGTGTGTACTCTTGGGTGGAAGGGGACAGTAATGTTCTTTGGTGTTGCTTAGGTTCAGGCAGCTGAATTTAGCAGCAGGTTTGGCAACATGGTCTTTTATTTTTCATACCTGTCCCAGGTTGGAGGCAGCTGCCACCCTCTCCCACACACAGTGAGGAAAAGATTGGGTCAGCCTGAGTGACAGCTGTGGGATGAGGGCAGCACACACTGAGGCTCAGTCATGAATACCTCAGCTGGTCGGCATAAAACAAGCCCAACAAGTCAGTCCCTTTGGGTTTGGGCTGATGGCACAGACTCTGCCTTTGAGTCCTGACCTCGGAATGGGACACTCCTAGCAAAGGGCCTATGGTTGGCTGCTGTCCGGTAACTAGAGTGCTTGTTGCCTTGGCCTACTTTCATTGGCTCTGCAAAATTCAGTTTCCTTGGTGAGGGCGGGAATGCGGCAGGACCGGGTCCAGCCTGTCGCAGAAGTGCAGTGGGACCAAGGTGAGAGTGTGCTGCTGCAGCACTGGGCTAACAGTGGTTCTCTAAGGAGGAATGGCAGTGCGGTTTTCCACTGTAGTGTGAGGGACGCCCTGTGGTCTGTCCCAGCTTCTGTGGCTTGCAGGTACTCGATGCTTTATGGCACATGAGTAAGGCCTCTTTCAGTCCTGAGACAGCCCATGGCTTCTGGAAGACTGGGCATGAGATGGCTTCCTTTGAAATGCCTTCGCTAGACCTTTCAGAGGATGCAGGTGCCTAAGAAGATGTGCGTGTGGTATGGGCATGGCATTGTAGATCTTATTTTCTTATCATTTATCATGTCTTTAATTTTATTTGTTTAGGTTTTTTTGATACAGACTTTAAATTCTGTGTGTGTGTGCCTGCATGTGTGTGCCTGCATGTGTGTGTATGTGTGTGTGTGGGGGTGTACATGTACATGCCAGTACTGGGGCTTGAACACTGTCCCTTGAGCACTGTCCCTTATCTTACTCATTCAAAACCAGTGTTCTACTGCTTGAGCCAAAGCTCCATATCCAACCTTTTGCCAATTAATTAGAGATGAGTCTCATGGATTTTCCTGCCTAGGCTGGCTTTGAACAGTGATCCTCAGATCTCAGCCTCCTGAGTAGTTAGGATTATAGTTGTGAACTACCAGCATCTGGTGTGGCTTTGGACTCTTGATCCTCCTACTTTACTCTCCTGAGTGCTGGGGTTACAAACATGCACTACCACTTCTGACATATAGAAACTTTGTAGTCATTTTTCCTTCTTTCTACATTTTTTTTTTCCAGGGCTGAGAACCGAACCCAGGGCCTTGCGCACGCCAGGTGGGCGCCCTTCTCCTGGGCTAAACCCCTAGCCCCCTCTACATTTTTTATTAACATCAGTTAGTTATACAAGGGAGTTGTGATTATTTGCATAGTAAGTTTTGTTTTGTATCTTACAGTTTTCATTTAGAGCTTTTAAAATAGTTACAATTTAGATACAATAACAGTTGTTTGTGTGTGTGTGTGTATGTGTACGCACGCAGTCCTATAAATTTTGACAAAGTTGTGTAATTGCCACCACAATCAAAATACAGAGCTGTTTGATCATATGAAAAAAATCTTCCCATGTCTCTATAAGAAATCCCTCACTCCTCACTCCTTAGCCCTGGCAACTACTGTCCCGATGTGTCCCAATGATTTTATCCTTCTCAGAATGTTGTAAAAATGGACTCAATTCAGCATGTGCTCTTAGCATAACGCTTACAAGATTTGCCCATGTTGTTGCAGATACCAGTGATTTGTTCCTTTTCATTGTGAGTTCTATTCAAGGGACATTGGGTCATGTATAGTTTTTGACAATTATAAATAGAGCTACTATACATACACAGATTTCTGTGTTGAATATGTTCTCTTTTCACTTGGATAAACACATTGCAGTAGGATTGCTGGGTTCTAGGACATCTCTGAGGTTATGTAAGGAAATTGCCCAAGCATTTCCCAGAGTAGTTGCACCATTCTGCATCCCCAGCTGCAGGACATAAGAACTCTTGCTCAGGGTATCCTTCTTAGTGCCTAACATCATTAGATTTTTAAAAATTTTAGCTCTGCTAGTAGGTATGTTGTGATATCTTCTGAGGGGTTAAATTTCTATTTCTATAGTTGAGCATCTGTTTATATGATTGTTTACCATCTGATGAAATATCTGTTGAGACCTTATGCTCATTTTTAAAACTAGATTTCTTATTACTGACTTGTGAGTTCTCTATATACTTTGGACATAAAGTCTTTATCAGATGTATTTTTTTCTCTCTGTCTGTGACTTTGTCTTTATATTAAGAGCGAAATTCTTTTTTTTTTTTATTTTTATTTTTTTTTGGGGGGGTCCGGTCGTGGGGCCTGAACTCTGGGCCTGGGCGCTGTCCCTCAGCTCTTCAGCTCAAGGCTAGCGCTCTACCACTTGAGCCATAGCTCCACTTCCAGCTTTTTTTTTTCTTTTTGCTTATGTGGTGCTGAGGAATCGAACCCAGGGCCTCAGGCATACAAGGCGAGCGCTCTACCACTGAGCCACCTTCCCAGCCCCAAGAGTGAAATTCTTAAGTTCAAAAGAAGTTCAATTTATACCCCCCTCTCCATATTTTTGAGTACTAGGATTTGAACTTAGGGCTTCATGCTTGTTAAATAGGCACTCTACCACTTAAGCCCCAAGCCCTGTTTATTTTAGTTACTTTTCAGAAAGGGCCTTTTAGTATTATGCCTGGGCTGGCTGGACTATGACCCTCCTATTTATGCCTCCTGTGTAGCTGGCATGAAAGGCACAAAGCTTATTAGTTGAAATGGATCTTACTAACTTTTTGCCCAGTTAAATCTCAACCTATGAATATATGTATAGTATAAATACATACATATTTATTTTGTATATATTATATATACATACAAAATTACATTAACATATGTATATATTAAATGTATATAAATAGAAAAAAATAATTTTTTTTCTTTTTGCTGGTCTTGGGGCTTGAGCTCGGGGCTTGAGCTCAGGGCCTGGGTGCTGTCACTGAGCTCTTTGTGCTCAAGGCTAGTGCTCTATCACTTGAGCCACAGCACCACTTCTGGCTTTTTTTGAGTAGTTTATAGAAAATAAAAGTCTCATGGGGACTTTTCTGTCCAGGTTGGATTCGAACAGCAACCCTCAGATCTCAGTCTCCTGAGTAGCTAGGATTATAGGCATGAGCCACTGGTGCCCGGCTTAGTATATATTTTTATTTTTATTATTTTTTTTTGGGGGGGGGTCCAGTTGTGGGGCCTGAACGCTGGGCCTGGGCACTGTCCCTCAGCTCTTTCAGCTCAAGGCCAGCGCTCTACCACTTGAGCCACAGCACCATTTCCGGCTTTTTTTTTCTGCTTATGTGGTGCTGAGGAATCGAACCCAGGGCCTCAGGCATACAAGGCAAGCCCTCTACCACTGAGCCACCTTCCCAGCCCCTGGTATATATTTTTAATCACAACATTTACAGAGGATAGAGTGGAGCTGTTCATTTGTTTACAAGCAAATGAAATGAAAATTAACCCCTACAGCAGAGGTATTATATGCTCTCTTTGACAATGGCTCTTCATAGAAACATCATCTTTATCATGAACGAGGAGGGAGATTCCAGATCTTTGTCTCTTTTTAGAGGCTTCATCTGGAGACACTACAAATATCTAGCTCAACTTTTGGAAGAAAGAAAAAAGGAAGATTAGACCATCTTCATGGGGGAGCGGGGAGGGGGCTGTCTGTTGTCTGTCAGATATCAGTAGGCATTTTGTCTTCCAATTCCCACCCTCATCTTGCTCATTCCTACTGTGTATCAGTGGGTGAACCAACCCTTGAGGGGATGGTGTGGGAGGTAAATTTAATTGAACTATAGTGCATGAGGCGTGCCTGCCTCCAGGCTAGCTTCTTGGATCACTCAAGGAGCTTTCAGACAAAGGGGCTGAGACATTAACTATGAAAATGAGCTGCTGGTATCTCAGCAAGCCCTGCCTGTCCTGTCAGCCAGGTCGGAGTAGCTGGCCTGGGAAAAGCACCTGCTGGGTTGGTAAAGGAGGCAATCATATGCTGTGAGATAGCTAAATCCTTCTTGCTGTTCCGTTAATGTCCTTATGCAGCCTTTATGAACGAATTGATCCGTTTGCCAAAGACTGTGTGAATGAGACCATCAAAGCTTTCAGCCTTCTTTAATATATATTCCAGAAGCTATACTGTGAGGGGTGGGGTGGGAGATTTTTAAATTACATTTGAAAATTATATTAGCCACTGAAAAAGAAAAAAAACAACATAAATAAATTGAGAAATGAATATAAATATAACGGTAATGCTCTGCTCACCTCTCTGCTAGTCACAGTTGCTGAAAGTGTGGTGTGTACTTCAGGCTATTTGCTGTCTTATATAGAGTCCCTGGGAGAGATTGTTTTGTTTGCTTTTAACCTAAAATGAGATCATATGTTACAAATGATTTTGCAATTTTTTTAAATATTTCCTTCACTTACAGATCATAGTTCCAGTTTTGTCTTGGTTGTTAAAATCTACCTTATTCTTTCTTAGTAGCTGCTAAATACCTCATAACTCACGGTTTCATTCTGCAGTTGACAGATGTATAAACTGTCTCTGGTATATCTGTTATAAATTATATCACTGTGGATATTCTATACATGTAGAATTCCATACTTACAAGAGTATTTCCTTAAAAGAGATTGATAGTAAGTAGAGTTAGAGTACTCCTGACGTTGAGATTTCATTGCTGCACTAGAGAGCCCTCCCTCCATGGCAAAGAAGCACACTCCTCCTCCCTGCACATGGCACCTTTTACCCCATAATAAGAAAGGTGAAAGGACTTTTAAAATTGATGTTTGCTAAATGAGATGATAATGTTAGCATTGATATCAAACATAACATCTATAGTAAATGACATATTAAAACATTCATAAAAAAAGACATT